ATCTTTTTGGACAACAATTTAGCTATGGAATAGAGATGTGTCTCTTCTTGGACATTAGTTTAGCTGTGGATTAGAAATGAGAGATTGGGGGTGGAGACAGTCGAGAGAGCAGGTCTAAAAGGGTTTGCTCGATTGTGTTTTGTCGAGGGTTAGAGAGGTAACTCTCTGTCTCAAAATCTTTGATGTAACTTTCATTAATATAATGGATTTTAGTTTGTTGTACCCGTGGATGTAGCCCTTTTGGGGTGAATCATGTAAATCTTTGTGTTCTTGTAGTGTATATGGTTCATACTGTATTTCTCATATTATGACTTGTGCTCTCTTCTATTTTGTTTCTAGTTGGATAAGTACACGATCTTGTGGGATCTAATTTTATGATTCTTATTTACGCATATAAGAGGGTTCTTAAATCTTAACAAGTGGTATCAGAGTGCATGGTTCAGTACAAGGCTAGTATTTGTGTATTCAGCTTAAAAAAAACACATGACAAAATATGCAATTGTTTTATTTGAGGTGGAGAAATATTATGGCAAGCACAATATTTCCGATAAGAATGGTGAAAGAATTTATTTGGCAAAAGATGATGAATTCATAAAGCTGTCCATTGGCATGGTGAGCAGGTAATTTGATATCAAGATGAAAATTGTTGGATATGTTGATTATCCAAAATCACCCACATAAAGAATTTTCATATTATGTGGGATTGGGATTGATATTGATTAGATTTTTAAATGACATAGAAAATCCAAAAGGATTAGGATTGTGTGACATATTTCTTAGTTCTTGAGATATATGTAATATCTATAAAATGTTTCCTACTTAGTTTGGACTCATGAGTTTATATATATGGGATCAAAGATGAAAGAATAAGTGTGACCTATTTAGGTTCCCATATTGGAAATGTGGCTTCCTCTACAAAGAGAGGCATAATCTTTTCTGCATCAGAGGCAAGGCCTCCCCTTAGAGAGAAGAGAGCTTCATATGGAGAGAACAACATGATGTGCCTCTTACAGATTGAGAGGTTGGTTTCTTGTATAGAAGTTGTTCCAATGAAAATTTTTGGCGGTTTCCCCTATTAGAGGGAAAAAAGTCTCGATTTCTCTCAGGGTCTTTTTCAAAAAACAATTTAGCCATGGAATGGAGATGAGTCTCTTTTTGGACAGTGGTTTAACTGTAGAATAAAGATGAGAGATCGGTGGGATCGTGGCAATCGGGGAGAACGGTCTAAAAAGGTTTACTCGACTGCATTTGTCGACAGCTAGAGAAGTAACTTTATGTTTTAAAATCATTGATGTAATTTTCACTGGTATAGTAGATTTCAGTTTGCTGTGCTCGTAGATATAGCCCTCTTGGGGTGAACTATGTAAATCTTTGTGTTCATGCAGTGTATGTGTTTCATGCTTTATTTCTTGTATTATGACTCGTGGTCTCTTTTATTTTGTTTCTAACCTGATAAGTACACGATCTTGGTGGGATCCAACTTTTGAGATTCTTGTTTCCGCATCTAATAAGGTTATTAAATCCTAACATCTACAAAATTAATGCAATTTTTTAGATAGATGGGGTATCCATAGTTAAAAATTTGGACTATTTCTCTTTCTCTCTCTATCTCACTCTCTCGTAAATCTTAGATTTATTTATTTGAACATAGTTTTTTTTAATGTATTACTAGATTAATGATCCATTCATCTCGCTCTTAATTAAATAGCCCTAGTCTCCTCTATGCTCATTATCTCTCACAACTTAATGGCCCAAGTCTTTTCTTTGTTCAACTCATCACATGAGTTGTACATCAATTAAAATTCTGACATGTTTTAAGAATTTCATATGAATTTGCTCAAAGCTATAAAAAATGATAAAATAAAAAGGCAATATAGAAGGTTTTTTTATGATTCAAGGATCCCTTTCTATCATTCTTTAAGCAATTCGTGATGGTTTCTATTTGTTTTATTTGCGAATAAGCCCATGATTCTATCTTAAGGTCATAGTAACGCTTTTCCTATGAGTAATATGTGGATGAAAATATGGGTTTAGAAGGCCATTTTTTTTTTTTGGGTTAATTAAAAGCAAGATGGTCATTTTGATTGAGGACACAATACAATGTAATGGAAAATGCTGGAAAAGTTAAGGCTCGTTTGGCTCCATGTGTTAATAAACCTGAATCAAAACCTTATTATATCAAACTTTGATTATGTTAAAACCTTGGTTTGGATGGCTTTGAATGATACTCAAGATATGCAAATCTCATATTTGGACCATCTTTTTTTTCTTTTTTTTTATAACTTGATTTGCTTTTAGAGGTCATTTGGTGCACGTGAAAGTTTGACATGAAAATATTTATATAAAAAATATTCAGATATGCAAACAATTCATAGGAAAATAATACTTAAGCATGTTTTTTCCATGTTTGGCAAACACAATTGGATACAGCCAGAGAGAGAGAGATAGAGCATATCAAACTTGAAATTTGGAGAGAGTTCTCTCTTTAATATATGATATAATTTCCCTCTCCAAAATTTTTGACATAGTTTCTCTCTCTAAAAAGTTTTAGGTAGTTTCTCGCCCTAAAATTTGATAGGGTTTCTCTCATTAAAATTTTAAGATACTTTCCCTCTCTAAAATTTAAAATTTAAAATTTGAGATAGTTTCTCTCTCTATCAAGTTTTAGGTAATTTCAGTCTCTAAATTTTGATATAGTTTCACTTTCTAAAATTATAAGATACTTTCTCTATCTAAAACTTGAAATTTGATATAGTTTATCTCTAAAATTTTTGAGATAGTTATCTCTCTAAAAAATTCTAGGTTATTTCCCTATCTAAATTTTGAAATAGTTTCCCTCTCGAAAACTTAAAATTTGATATAGTTTCTCTTTTTAAAAATTTTGAGATAGTTTATCTCAAAATTTTTTTAGGTAATTTCTCTCTCAAAATTTTTATGATACTCTATCTCTAACACTTAAAATTTGAGATTCTAAAATTTTTGAGATAGTTTCTCCATCTAAAAATTAAAGTAATTTATTTTTCTAAATTTTGAGATAATCTTTCTCTAAATTTTTTTAGATAGTTTCTCTATAAAAAATTTGATAGAGTTTTTCTCTAAAAAATTTTAAGATACTTTCCGTCTCTAAAACTTGAAATTTTTAGATAGTTTCTCTCTTAAATTTTTTCTAGTTTCTCTCTTTAAAATTTGATATAATTTCTCTCTCCAAAATTTTAAGATACTTTATCTATCCAAAACATAAAATTTGAGATAATTTCTATTTCTAAATTTTTTTTGAGATAATTTCTTTCTTTAAAGATTTTTAGGTAATTCCCAAAATTTTGCATATAAAATCATCTTAGTCTTCTACTCGAGGGAATATGTCTATAACATGCTCATGCGTGAGTATTGTAAACACGCCCCTCCAAAAGTACTTGTGGCTCCGAGTTTTATCACTAAAGCACACAGTTAGCATGCGGGCCAAGCCCGAACACATAAAATTGTGACACCTCTTAAAAATCTATGGCTGCGATGGATTTCTGAACTTAATTGTTAAGGACATGTAATTTCTAACATAGAGATCATGAATGTGAAAAAATAAATACATTTTATAAAACTAAAAATAATAATTATATTAAAAAAATATTTAGATCGTTAGTTTCCATTGGTATTAGATGAACCACCTAATTGCAAAGATGAATGCTTTATACTTCTGAACTGTATATGTAGAAATTTTGTAGAAACAATTTTCCGTAACTAAAGATGTTAGATGTGGCCTTCTCTCATTTTAACTTGTTCTATAAGTGAGCGGGTGCAGGGCCCGTGTACTCTTTGAGATGGGCATTGTGAAAAGCGCATGGTGTCAAATTAGATATGGATGGTGCCAAAAATATCCCCAACAAAAACACCATTCAAAATTTAGTTTTTTTTTTTTATATTTATGATAAGCTTGGCTTATACAGTGCAGGAAAAAGTTTATATAAAGTTGCAACCTTAAAATGTAGAATTACAGGTGCATTTAAAAAATCTATCAAAAATATTGTTCTAATGTTGAAAAACCTTCTAATTCATCATCTCGACATCGAGATGTATGAATATGAAAAATTTTTGAGTCCTAAAAAATAATGCATCTTGCAACACATATTTAGACCGTTCATTTTCAAGTTTTTCATATGTTTATAGGTTTACTTGATTTTACCTATTTTATTTATTTATTTTTGATAGATCAGTGGGGAATACATGCCTCTACCTATTTTTATAAATAATAAGCAGGTTTCAAATGTGTATGTGAAAATAAAAATCTAGACCGATTGTCGAGACTCAAATGATGGTACCTCCACGACCTCAACCCATTCTCGATTTTGACTGTTTTTGAAGTTTAAAATTTTCTAATTAAATATCAAAAATAGATTTTTTTTATAACAAAACTACGTGATAAAGAATAGACAGAAGTGGTATGCTCCACTTTTTCCATATCTGTAAAGGGGTTGCTTGGACGGCGATAAACATACATCTGCGATGGTCAATGATCCATGTTATCTTCCCGTGAATCATTGAGACAGTGATATCATCTAACAGACCAAAGGGATCGCTCCCCTCAATCGGTGGTTGTTAAACTCTGACGTCTCAATCCCCATCAACGCGCATGGTCGCCAAATGACGAAATTACCTCCGTACGTCATTCGATGCAACATACAGGGGTAGTTTAGTACTTTCTTTCTATTCGTAAATTGCATTGATTACCGCGTACCGCATCTCTGCATCCTCTCTCTCTCATCTTTCTCTCTCCTCCCGATCTCTCTCCCTAGCTTCACATGCTTCCTCTCTCTCCTCTCCATCTCTCTCTAGCCTCACCATTTTGTACCTCCTCTCTCTCTAAGTTTTGTAACCCTACTTTTTCCCTCTCTCTCATTGGCTTTCTCTCTCTTCCTCTGTATTTCTTCCCTTTCCTTTTCAATTCCTCTGTATTTCTTCCCCTTTCTCTCTCTAAGATCGCTGTCATAGTTTTGTCCCCCACTCTCTCTCATTGTTTTTCCATCTCTTCCTTCTAAATTTCTTTCCTTTCTCTTTCGTCCTCTGCATTTCTTCCCTCTCTTAGAGCATATTTCTTGTTAGGCATCCTTATCTGCTCTATCATCCATTCGGCACCCCATTTCACATTCCTAACCACTCCACCCTAAACCTGCCATTCTTTTTGGATACCAAGTCAATAAAAATTTTCTGAAGGACTAGAAGCTTTCGTAGAACGCTTGCTTTTTCCTTACATATTGAGAAAAATCGACTGGCTTCATTCGACCTGCATTCAAAGGAATTCTACTTAGAATTGATGAGAAGAGTTCATTAAAGGTGGTTTCCTTATCCTTTTTTTTTTTTGTTCTTATCGAGTTGGTATGTTTTGGGGCGTTTCGTATTTGTTGTCTTTCTTAAATTTAGATTTTTTCCATTTTGCGTGGTGATTCTTTTTCTCTGCTTTTTGTTGACACTGCATTGTTTTATTAATTCAATAGTTAAAGGAGATGAAATATTCATGCATTGTTTTATTAATTCAATAGTTAAAGGAGATGAAATGTTCATTAATTCAATAGTTAAAAGGGGATGAAATGTAAAGCATTTCATTAGTTGTATTGAGTGGTCCTTAATTGCCCTTTCTTTTCTTTTTTTCAGCTTTTTTTCTCTCTCTCTAGTTTTAAATGTGATTTTTTCTTGATTTATGTCTATAGTGTCATTTTATTATTTGGTGATATTTCCCTTGCTTTTATGTTTTTGTCACTTTTTTTATGCCCCCTATTTCCTCTCTTTCATTTTTCTTCCATTATTTCCTTCTTATTTGTTTTAAATGTGTTTTGGTAATGCTTATTTGAGGGAAGTCGTTTTTGGGGAATCCTCTGTCTCATTCATTCTGAAATAAACCTAATTGTCAATTTCGTTCTATTTGATACTGCTTTGGCTAAAATCAACTAAAACGCCATTTTCCTTTCTAAATTTCATGTGTTCTCATTTTCTTTTCAATTAGAAAAAGAAAACGGAGAATGAGTTAATTCCAAGTATACGAAAGTTCTTGAAGAGAAATAAAATTGGATTACGATTTTTGTAATCTACAATGGTACAGATAGGAACATACACAAATTTGTATGCTTTGAAATCTTTATCTGCATCAATGTTCGTGTAATCTGTCTATATTATTAGGACATAAAAACTTCTTTGGTGTGAATTTCATCTAATAGTTTGAGTCTTCCTGAATTTTGTTGTTGGTTATTATTTTCAAAATTTTCTTGCTTCTAAATTCCTAAGTTTTTTTAACTTTTATGCTTGATTTCTTTTCTTATAATTATTCACTTCCTCAGAGTTCAGAGAACTATTTGTGAAAAATTTCTCATTTCTTTTTTATGTTCCCATTGTTTATGTTGTACTGGCTTTAGTCTTTCTTATTAATTTGCTTATATCAATTTTCATTTGGTTGCTTCTTTTATGTTTCTTATTTCCATTTCTAGTTATGTTTGGCTCACTTTTCTTAGTAATACTATTTTTATGAATTTTGTATTATCATCAATTGTAGAATTTTCTATATCTGTTTTTTATTGCTTCATACACTAATAAACTCTGTTTTTATTTACAATTTTAATTTTCTTGTTTTAAGTGATGGTTATTATGCAACATGCTTTTTATATTCTTTCTTCTTAGAGGTTGTTTAATTGAAATTATTTTAGTAAAATGAAAAATGAGCGCATAATTTAAGTTATTTGATGAGTTTATTAGTTTGCTTAAATGTCTTTCTCATTTTCTATTTGATAATGTTCTGTTCCTTGCTGAGGAATTGGTGTTTCCTTTACTCAGTTTATACTACTATTACTTTGCATGTTAAGCTTGAAAAACTGGTCTTTGAGTACTATGCTAGCAGCACATCAAATGAAGAAAATAAAAAAAAAATCTAGCTTGGATTTGAAATGGATTACCGCTGAAATTAATTTTGAAACCTGTTCTGATCTGCATTGATTCTTTCTATGCTTTCAATTTTAAAAACCTTAGATCTACAATAAGCATGTATTCACAGTCTCCATCAAAATCCACTGTTATGATTTTTACATATTAATTTGATGTCTCCTTTATAACTTGATCCTTTTTTTGAAATGGCACTCAACACCTATGCTTGCTGCCACATCATTGAATTTTACTAACGTTTTCTTGTATCAATATATATCTCTATTTTTGCTGGTTTATTTGCTCAAACATGAATCAGAAGCTGCCAAACTGCCTTTATTTATACTTATTTCATGTGACTTTTGAGCTTTAAATATAGGAAGTTACTTTTGGCAGTGATAGCTCTTCCTTGTTACTCAATCTAGCAGGAACAACTTAGATCATTGAAATGTGCCAGCTCAAAAACCAAATGGCATGCGAACTGTAGTTTCTTGGTTGATATTGGCAAACAAATTGTGAAATGAGCTGGTGTAGGACGCTATTGTCCGTGAAAGAATGTAGAATATTGGTATCGTTAGACTTCCTGTTTCTTGCAGCTATTGTCTCCTATATAACCAATGAAAACTTAAGCGATAGGCAATATCGTGTTTCTTGGCTTGGCCTATATTATAAGATCTCCTCTAAGTGGTTGGTGCATCATGGGTGCTGATTATATTTGAAAGAGTGTTCTCCTTGAGATAGACAATAAAGGAATTTTTCTTGGACAACTTTCAGTCATCTGCATTATACACTATTTTTTTTATACGGTCCCCCCTATATTGAAAAGTAAAAAAGGCATTTGTTTGACCCCAAAATTTGGAGTGGTCTTGAAAACATCAAATGAACACTTACAAAAGAAAGAAAAAGGATTTTGAGCGCATCTAACCCTACATTTTCCAGTACAACAAATCAGACAGCTAGTGCCAATCCATTTTTCTCTCTCATCAACTTTTTAGGGTTCTTACTTTTTGTTTCCTCCTTATGTTTTTAATTGCAATGTTTGCTGAGGTCAAGAGGAAGTGTGTTTGAAAAATGAGGTTAAACAAATACCCCTAACATCATTTCTTTAAGGAGGGGGAGTTGAACTACTACAGAATTAGCGTGGGGGCAAATGTAGTATTTTTTCCCGTGCGGGCGTGCGCTCGTGCGTTCGTTCAAATAATGCAATATGAGAAATGTATTGTTTGTGCCATGACCTAGTTGGAAAATTTAACTCTCATCAAAGATTGCTGGTTGAATTTCAATGAAATCTTCCATATCTGATTTCCTATCCCTCTCTGTATGTTGCTTTATGAGCGTAGGCATTCACAATCACTAATACGGCCAAGTTGTGCTTCAACATTTTAATATTGTGGAATGCTAATTTTCATTATGCAATTAGATAGGTTTGTTATTGTCGAATATATTAAATGAGTCCAATGCAGTTTTGTAAGTTGCAACGTCCTTAGTAAACTGGTCTATTGCCTGATGTGAGTTACAACTGATTAGCTAGGTTTCTTGTCCTGGTTAATGGGTTTCTCATTCACCATTTTGATCTTTTCTTATAAATAACTATATTATTGCGTCCGCTATAGGAAGCAAATACTCTTTCAGTGGAGATTGTGTTGTGAAATATTCACTCGGAATCATGGATGGGCAAGAGAATATTAATGGTCAAGCACCAGGCACTGATAGAAGTACAATAGAAAGTTACCTTTCATTGAGTGAATACAGGAAGGGTTCTTTTGAGTTCAAGGCGATGCCCATACCCAATGACGCTCTTATGTATTCAGATGCTTTTTGCTTACAAGAAGGTGTGATTTCAAACATGTCATCCCCATTATCACCTTTGGCATCAGAGATTATGTCTCCTCTTTCAATTGATGCTATGTTAGATACAAGGCCAAAGGAACAAGCATCCAGTGAGCAATTGGAGGTAAATTGTTTTTTAGTTATTAATTAACTTCCAGAATAATTCTGAATGGATATTCGCATTGAATAACTAGTTTAAGGTGGTTTTGTTGGGTATCATGTTTCTATTTTTCATGCATGCTTGAGATCAGGAACTTCAGATTCTTGGACAGTCAAAACCATAATGGAAAAGTTATTTTTCTTTACAAATTTACTTAGGTTGCTAGACCAGATAAAATATTTTGTCATGTTTGATGTGGGGTGTAAGAATTATGATATCCTTTTTTTTTAGGTGAAAAGAATTATGATATCCTTAATAAATAATAAAAGGACATTGGGTGTAAGAATTATGATATCCTTTTTTTTTTGGATGAAAAGATTTATGATATCCTTAATAAATAATAAAAGTCAATGACATGTGCTCTGTATTGTATTTCTAGTATGATGAAATTGCTGATCTCTTGCTACGATCATCTAATAGTAAAAAGAAAAAAAAAAGAAAATTTTTCGCTCATTTAGTTTGGCTTTTTTTTGGGTAATTGAAAAAACACTTTACCACGACGGCAAGTTAAGCCGTGATCATTTAGTTTGGCTTAATCATCTAAACAACACATTCTTCAGTTTTATCTTGAGTAGACCAATATATATTCAGATGGAATTGAATATGACCACTATATTTTAATTTTTTCAAGAACTTTCTTGAGGATCATTGCCTAACTTTAATCATTGAAATATCTCATTACCTTTTAAGATTTGGAGATCTTTATAAGGGAAATGTTGATCTATTTTACCAATCTCGTTATGGATTTTCTTGGTTGCTTGCAAGGATGGCAATTGGGTTGGATCGACCTGCCGACTCGACGGGAAGATTGACATTGGTCCTGGTTTGGACCCAAATATTGGACACCCATTGACATGCATCCGATTCGAGTTGGGTCTTGGTCTAGGTCCATTTTTGGACCTTGTCAGGTCGGCTCCGGGTCAAGGTCGACGAAAATATATGACATAATAGAAGAAGAAGAACGAGAGAAGAAGATCTAAAGAGTGAGAAAGGGAGAATTTTAAAGATAGAGAGAGTCACTTTGGGTTCTAAAATCACCCATGCACCGCACTCGTTATATATATATATATATATATATATATATATATATATATATATATAT